CAACAAATAAAATGTTATAATAAATATTTGGAATTATGTTCTGGCCAAAATAACTTGAATAAATTTAAAAGTGAACTATATGAATTTCTTGTTGATCAGGCATTTTATTCCCTGGAAGAATATTTTTCAATATGATAATTTTAATGTGAATCTTATACATTTAATGAATGAATTCTTTTTAATCTTTGTTTTATTATATAATTACTTTAATATTAAGATTTCAAACTAGTATGTAAATCCATATTTGACTAGTCTGATAAGCATTTTAGGTGTTCAACTGCAAAGATTTGTAGATTGCTTTAATTATGAATAAAGATACTACTACTACTACTACTATACTTCTCGATGTTTCGGATTAAAAACACTAGCCTTCAACTCCTCATCGGCACCTTTTTGAACTTTCAAAGACGAAAACGCGCATTTTCGGCATGAGATTGCGAGTTTGTTATCGAAAGAGGCAATTCTGCTCTTGAAACGATGACAGCTCATAAACACTTTCATACATTTAAATTATTCAATCCCAACAATAGCAATTTTCTTCAAATTGAAAGGGAAACCATTTTTAGGAGAGATTTTTCAGGGAAAAAATAGATTTAGATTTTTATTCCTCCATCTTCCCTAAGTTGGGAAATTTCCAAAGAAAAAAAGAAGAATAATCTTTAAAATTTCTGCAAATCTCTTTGCCAAAATGTGTAGATCGTGTAATCGCATTTGAAAGATCAAAAAGATGCTGATGGCTAATTTTGCGGACAAATGTTTTCATGACCGAAACTTCGAGACTTAGGTACAAGAAAACATTTCGAAACAACCACTTTCATATGGACCTTGAATTACACGAAAATCACTTTTTCCTATTCACTTTGTACTAAAAATATTCGTAATGGAACTGAAATAGATATCATTCATAAGAACACAATGTGATATATGGAAGAGTAGTGCTATATCAGTCACACAGTTACATTCTCAATGGTGTACTTCGAAGTTTCGGGACAAAACACTTGTCTTATCACCTCATCAGCACTGTTTTGGATAACATCACAAAACTTAGCACTCATTTCTTTTATAACATGTAGAAACGCTACACAGCGTAATTCAATTTCCGCATTAGATTATAATTTTATGTCACTGATAGAAGCAATTTTGCTTTTGTCACGATAACAGTTCGTGAAAACTTCCATATGGTTAATTGATTTGATCCCAGCCATAACAATTTCCTTCAAATTATAAAGAAAATATATTTTTTTACCCAAAAATCTGGTCTCCCTTGAAATTATTTCCTGTTCAATTCAAATATATCAATACTCTTTCATATATTACATTGTATAGCGTTCCTATGAATATAAAAAAAGTTACACGAAAATAAGATAAACAAGTAGAAAGCCAAAACGTGTTTTCCCTAAAAATTATTGAATATATTTCCATAGCAATTTCCATAGCAGTTTCCATAGGAAATTAAGTTATCTGCCAGCGTTTGGGAAGCATGATAAATTAAAAAATCTAGTACTGTCTGGTACTCTGGAATAGTTTGTATAGATCCTCGTAGCTTAATATTTAGATACTGATTCAAACTCCAAGTACATACAGTACCTACAATATAACCCTTTAACATTTCTGATATAGATAGCTAGTTCTACAGTTCGGTATGGCAAAGGTGTAACCAGAGAAGTTGGAATGGATTTAATCAATTTGGGAGCCAAAAATGTTTGTGTTATAACAGATCCACATCTGGTAAACTTACAACCAGTCAAAACAACGATAGATTCTTTAACCAAACAAGGTGTGAAATTCGAACTCTACGATCAGTGCCGAGTAGAACCAACAGAGAAAAGGTTTGTGTATAACTGTTGTTTGCATTTCTCTCTGGAACACTGTCTTAGGTGTTACTGTTTTCCAGTATGATGAGCGCAACAAAATTTGCAAGATCTCAAAATTTTGAAGCATTTGTAGCTGTAGGAGGAGGATCTGTAATGGATACCTGCAAAGCTGCTAATCTCTATTCCTGCGATCCTGACGCTGATTTTTTGGATTATGTGAATGCCCCAATTGGAAAAGGCAAACTAATCAACATTGCTTTAAAACCGTTAATAGCCAGTGAGTTGGTGATAAAAAATTCTCCAAAGTTCAAACAATTGCTTTTTTTTAGTTCCAACTACTTCTGGAACAGGAAGTGAAACAACTGGTGTTAGCATTTTCGATTATGAACCTCTAAAAGCAAAAACTGGCATTTCACACAAATCACTAAGGCCCATGCTAGGTATCATAGACCCTCTTCATACTTTGAGTCTACCAGAAAGAGTGACTGCTTATTGTGGTTTTGATGTATTCTGTCATGCCCTGGAGTCTTTCACTGCTATACCCTTCAATGAGAGATCTCCTTGCCCAGAAAATCCAATAATGAGGCCCACATACCAGGGCAGTAACCCAGTGTCTGATGTTTGGGCTCGATATGCGTTGAATGTGATGAAACACTACTTTGAAAGGTAAATGAAAGTTTTTTTATAACACATATTCATTTGTAATTACTCTTCCTTCATCATTGAAATATATTTATGCTTTGAAAATCACAATGGAATTCTACAAACTGCTGCAAAATGATCTGCAGATTGTAGTTACAAAATACTTTTCAGGTCTTTTTTTCTTTGCCATTGATTGAGTTTGATTTGGGAATTTGTGAAGAGGTGAAAATTAAACTTATAAATACCTATATGAAATCAGAACCAATGTTTGGAGGTTTATCATTCGAGAAAATTGCTGTAGGTCTAATAACCGCTAACCAAAGCATTTTTTTGCTATCCTTGATCACTTTGAATTATCACATTTTAGAGCGGTTTTTTGTCCTGATGATATAGAAGCACGCTCAGAGATGCTCCTAGCTTCAACAATGGCCGGTGTGGGATTCGGAAATGCAGGAGTCCACTTGCCTCATGGACTTTCATATGCCATTGCTGGAAACGTGAAGGAATTCACTCCCAAGGACTATAAGTAATATATCTTGGATATATGCATGCAAGCACCATATAATCTACCTCATCCGCCTATTTTCAGTGATGGTCACCCAATAATTCCTCACGGATTATCTGTTGTTATGACTGCCCCGGCAGTGTTTGAATTCACTGCTCCGGCATGCCCTGAGAAACATTTGGAAGCTAGCGAAATATTGGGTACCGACGTTCGAAATGCAAGACGAGATGATGCTGGGAATATTTTAGCAGACACTATAAGAAAATATATGAATATCATGAAAATTGAGAATGGGTTAACAGCATTAGGATTCGACAAAGGTGATGTACCCCAGTTAGTCAAGGGAACACTTCCACAGGTATGTCTTTTTCTCAGTAACGAATATGTAATTTTCGAATTTATTGAAAGAATTGAAGTATGTATTCAACGTAATTGTATTTTTAGAAACGAATAACGAACATGGCACCTAAGGACCAGACAGAAGAGGATTTGTCAACTATCTTTGAAAAGTCTATGACTGTCTATTGATTTGAAGTCTGGTAAAATCGTTCTCCGATACAGGAATTATGGTTCCATTAACGAAAATGTAATCAAGGCCATGAACACTTCATTTGTATTGTCCATTAAAACCTAAAGATCTGAACAACAAACTATCGTAGTTATGATACCTCTCACTTTTGTGAACCCTGAATCAGGACCTTGTAGTACTCACGTATTGTTCATATAGTACTCCAAATATGAACGTAATGTTCTCAATATCTCAGAAACTATTTCTGTTTCATTGAACAAGTTTGTGTAAAAATGTATCTTGGTTGTTACCTACTTTTTTCCTTTCAAATTTATCATCAAATATCTTGTTCTTTCAATGAAGGTTTAAAAAATCTGTTTTTCTGTTAACCAGCTGTTGCCCCCCTACGAACGACAACTCTCAAAAGTCAAAAGTTGTGCGAGCTAAGGACTAACGATGTCTTACCTTTTAACGTGTGATTCCTGAAACGGGTTGGACGATAAGAAGTGAAAATCGATCGTCCTGCATGCGGCTTGAACCACAGAATCACACAGCTGTCGATTGAGTGACTGGAGCAAAGCACCCACGTTAACCCAACCGGATACCGTCTGTGATGAAACCAATTAATTCTTTAATTATTATTCCGTGTTAGGAATCACACGTTAAAAGATAAAACCTCGTTAGTCCTTAGCTCGCACAAGTTTCTCAACTTCTGAGAGTTGTCGTTCGTATGGGGGCGACAGCTGATTAATGGAAAAACAGATTTTAAACAGAAACAGACAGTTTTACAGAATGAAGTTGAATTCATGAATGCACAAAATAAAACACACGAAAAACGATACATCAAGTTCACAGGCAATTTATCTGAAACTTGTATATAGTTTCATATTGAATTTGAGTATTCAGAAATTCCATGAATGACCAAAATATTAATAAACTGCCATCTTCTTCAGTTGAGTGACAGTTATGAAAATGATAAGATAACAAAAATGTTCATACTCTCAACAATTAAGATTTGATTGCTTTTTGATGATCCATTCATTATGTCATCTCGGACATGAAAATATTAAAATTTAGCAGAATATATACCTACATTTTCTTTCTGTCATAGTTTCACACCAGCCTGTAACTAATAATAACTTTTGATAAAATTCACTTGAAAAAACTGTTTGCAACTACTTTAATTTTGAAATAAATAAGTACCTATCACCAGAAGACAACATTAAATGAAATGTGATCTTAACCTTCCAAATGATTCGTTACATGAAAAAAAAACAAGGCAATTGCAACCTTAATTCATTATGCGTGCCGCATCAGTTTGTGTGGCAAATTTAATTTATTTACTCCCATGATAATTTTCATTTTACAATAACTACTAAATGCTCAAGCTAACTAACATATTTTTTGATAATGTTTGATATCATACCGTCTAATGAGCTTCCCAATTGCTACATTTTATATGAACATTATTTGAAACATTACAATAGGTATACTAAGAAAGATAGACATAATCCAGGGACTTTCTTGCAGACCTATGAAAGAATAACAATATGTAGTGAATGTTAAATTTCACGGACGGAGATAACCCTGTCAGAGCTAATTTTCGGGTTTGTTGGCCGTCGTCTGCAGGTTTTTAAGCCTGACATTTCGTCCACGACTACTTTTGATAATGTCCTCCGCAGTCGTGGATGAAACGTCAGGCTCAAAAATCTGCGGATCACGGCCAACAAACCCGGAAAATAGCTTTGCGTTAATATATGGTGAATTTTTTTGTTATAGCTCAAAGGAATCAGGTAGCTTTTTCAAAGAAATCAGCTCAAACTGGTAGCACCAGTGTTCCGACGATGATTAACATCATCATATTTTAACATATTTACAAGAAACATATGATGATACACATGAACCTTCCTTCTTAAATTTTCCGTCAATGAGGGTAAGCAGCATGAAAATCCGGTTGTCTGTTTTTTGTCTATAGCATTCTCAGACAAATGCAAGAGGACTTTGTGTTATATGCAATTATAATACCCACTTGATGAGTTTTAAAGAAAATTTCAACAAGGTATGTACATACTCAGGGAAGAGTCCACTAAAGATTAAAAGAATAATATATAGGGTGATCCATTTTATATTCAGTACTATTCACTAAGGAACTGAAAGTTGGTAACTTTGTTACCAATATTTCAAAACATTTTCGAGGTTGTGATAAGGTTACATTTAGTCCACACGCCATTGCTTTAGTGACAAAATAAACAAGATAACTGCACATAGTAATCAGGAAGTGAAATAATAAAAACCAAATAAAAAAATCAATGACAGTTTATTATTGAGTATTTAATAAAACTGTATCAATACTTGACAGTATCTAAACATCTGATTATAAATACTATTACATCAAAAGCCATACTCTCCAATAGCATGTTTGTGGGCTGCTTAGTACTGGAAATGAAAACATTTACCAAATATAGTTTATTTAGAAATGAGACAACTGAACAGAAATGAAACACTTCCTTACTTACTTGAATTTCCGACTGATTACATATTCCATTTGAAAGTTAGATGATTGGAGTTTCATTGTTTGAATTTAACAACAGATTTCAAACCTTAATAGAAAATTATTTCACCAAAATATTTAGAATCACACAATTCCTGCTTCGAACTTCTATTACAATTGTAGAAAATGGAAGACAAAAGTTATAATAATTTCAATGTATTGAAAATTCACTCAGACTAGAATACTTTTTTCACTCGATATATATTTGAGAGAAAATCATTAAAATCACTAAATGTTTTAAAATCACCATATAGAATATTTACATCTGCCAATCTTACTATTTTGTTTACAATATTTTGATAAGTTCAAGGATGGTTCATTTAAAATAGTTTTTCACTACTATTCCAACTTGTATATTCTCCTCATTCAACATCATTGTAATGTTTGTAGTGTTTTCTCTAGTCTTATATCATTGCTCATTTACGTTTCCTTTACAAATTAGAGTCAGAACGTTCTTCATTATTAGAAGTATACAACTTCTGACAATAACATGACTCAAATATTGAAAACGTAAAAATTCACTCCTACCATTGTTTCGTGTTAGAAGGCAGTTTGGTAGATTTTTAAAACATTATATATTATTGGTCGGTACCAATCGGTCGGTACCAGACTACTAGAAAATAGAAATATTGGAAAGATCAAACGTTGAGGATGACGACACCAGGCCACAATCCAAAACAAGCACTTTTCCCAATCAGCAGAAATACAATACTCTTCTCGACGCGCGTTTCACCATCCAAGTTGGCGTCATCGGGAGAGATCTCCTGAATATTCAGATACGCGTCGAGAAGGGGACTGAATTTCTGGAGATTGAAGAAGTGCTTTTTTGGATATATTCTAGGTCAGAGGTTCCATCTTTACCTTTTACTAGGCCACAAGTTTTTAAAATAAACGAATATTTATTTCTGATTTTACAAAGCGCCCAAATGGCCCAAAATATAATTCTACATTACTAGTGAGATTATGAAATAATCAATTTCTTCACATCACTTCACTGTTTTACCAACTCATCTGAATATTTTGGTCCTATGATTTCCTACTTTCAAATTATTATAGAATTGTTGAAGACTTACATTGTCCAACTCCAAACATTTTTTCCACATATATATACCATCAATATAGAGATATTTCAAGAGTTTCTAAAGAGCTTTTATGGAAGTTTTCACCTTTCATGTTCTAAAAAAATAAAAAATTGTAATGGAGAAAAGGGCAAAGTTCTACATCAACCCAATTAACTACTGCATACATTTGTTACATTTCTTCAAAGAAAAATATATGTGCCTATGAGAGGTATGACTTTAAAATTGAAAAAACAGCTTCATTTCGCAGTTCTCTTCTCAAAATTTGATTTGTTTTCAAATTTCTTTGACTAATGTAAGAAAAAATTGTAATATGAAATATGTCGAAGTGTTTAAATTGAGAGGGGTATATTTTTTAGAGAGATCAATTTTTGGGAGAAGAAGGTTTGGGCTTTTTACTCCTCCAATGTCATCTCGGACATG